GCCGGGGAGCAGCGATCGCTGCTCGGGAACTGTCTGGGCATTGGTCAGCAGGTGGTGAGCAATTGCATTGTGCATGACTTGCTTCGTATATTATTATTACTATTATTAGTATATTGCTATTATTATTATTTTACTTTATTTCAATTCTTAAACTGTTCTTATCTCAACCCAGGAGTGTTTCTCACTCTTACTCCTCCGATTCTCTCCCCCATCCCATCGGGGTAGGGGGAGTGAGCGAGCGGCTGCATGGTGCTGAGTTGCTGGCTGGGGCTAAACCACGACACTTCTAAACAACCCAGAAGTTGCAAGGTCCTTTGAGAAGCGTGGACGACTCCAGCCGTATGAAGCAAAGCTATATTTAGTCATGTAAGGGAAGGAAGGGCTGTTACTCAGTGGAGCTATGCAAGCCAGAGGGGGGCTGCACACCGCTGCTGAAACCGCCTTTGCTTCAGGCGGTCTTGTATAGGTGGTAGGAGGCAGAGCCACAGCCACTCCTTGGTCCACTGCAGGAGGAAGGGTAAAAGGTTGAAAATGAAAACACAGATGCTCTTGAGAAGCTCCCATTATCCTTTGCTAGTATCTTTTGGTTCAGAAGGAGGAGCATTGAAGGAGATGCTAAGAGCTGCTTCCTGAGCTTCAGACGTACTTGCAGGGCAAGGTGGCTAGGCAGGTTGACTTTAGGTCATACGAACTGGCAGCCCTTCTTGCACATTTGTGTAAATAAGTTGGAGTACTTTTGTCTCTGCTGGACCCCTCGAGAAAGGGCATCGGTCCAACTTGGTCCAGCTTGAGAAACAATTTTGTTGGTCGTTATAGATGAGAGGTGCATATGTGGCCTTTGTGTGAGGTGTGGGGTAGCAGTCATTATTACAGGCACAGTGCTTACTCCATCAACAGTAGTCAGATGTATACAACTTTTTAAGTGGCACTAATACTGTAAGGTTTACCAGTATGGTAGCCAGTCAGTTGTAACTAGACAAAATAGTGTTGTGCACTTGAATTTTAAGTGGTGAGAAAAAGAGGATTGAACATACTTGAAAATGGAGGCTATGTAATGAGTAATGCCTTCAGTTGGTTTAGGGGTAATGTTTTTAATATTGTTACAATGGGAACTGGTAATGACCTCTGTAATTAAGGCTGCTAACACTTTCCAGTGCTTTATAGCTGAAAACAAGGACCAGCTTTGCCAGAATGTGAACCCATACAGTCTGAAGCTTTCTATGGGTACCCGCTCGCTGCCTTGAGCTGCTGCCTTGTCGCATTTCAGCAGAGTTGGTTTGGTTGTTTTATATTAACGAGCGAAGGAGAAAAATAAAGCTAGGTTTTGTTGTGTTAACATTCTTTTTTTGGCCCTAACAGTTTCTTTTAGGAGGCCTAGTAGCAACAAAATTCAGAATTGAAACACAAGAGGTTGCGTTGGTGCCTGGCTTTGCAACGATGCCTGCTGCCACCTCTAGACAGTATTTCCCAATTGAATCGTTGAATATAAATATCTAAAAATCACGAGGAGCCAGCAGTTATTCTAAATGTCAGTTAGGTGGCATTACCCTGGGGACACTGCGGCTGAGATTGGAGAGGGGAGCTGGAAGGAAGGAAACACTCGGTGTTAGGGATTTTGGTGGGCATTGGTTTCTGCGCTTGCAGGCTGGCGTGGGGGGAGACACACCGTGTTTGAAAGGCTGGTAAAAGGGAGCTTACTCTGAGCAGGGCCTGTGTTGAGGCTCCTGGAGTCTGATTCTTTGTTCAGCAACTTTCTGTAACTCCAGTTGTACAGTGAAGAGCAGATCTATAGTTTTTAAAACATATACTGAGTCAGCAGTTCTTCCTCAAGACAGTACAAAAAATGATAGGATTAAACTGTAACCAAAGAGAAGGGGAGTCAAATTCTGCTTAATCCTAAGATTTAGTTTTTCGGCTGTACAAGAAGGTAGTCCTGAGCTCTTAATGGTATATGATTGTCTTCTACTTGCAGGTTCACTTATGTATTTAAATGAGGCCACTCTCCTTCACAATATCAAAGTTCGGTACAGTAAGGACAGAATTTACGTAAGTATTATGTGTCATGACAACCAGTCTAATGATAGATGTCCTTTAAAAAAATCAACAAAACAAGTGTTTCCAGTTCTGTTTTTTCCTATAACAGAAACTAAACAGAAATGGTAACATTGGAAAGTTAGAAGGTTTTAGGCCTTTTTTTTTTTTTTGTTTAATGTTATGCCTTATTTGAGATCTGAATCACATTAATCACATTAACGTTAGCTGACTTTTCCCAGGCAGAGCAATAGATTTTTCTCCACATGGCTGTTTGAGTTCAGCCGTAGCATAGCATTGTATCACGAAGGTCTGTTCCTGCAGGTAACTTACTTCGCCAGTAGAGTAGCTGTTAACAAAGATGGTTTTCTTTCTTCATTATTTTTGAACGAAGCAAACAGGTGCCGTCTTTGACACCTCCTAGCTCAGATGTCCATCTTAATCTTTTATATTGCTATCAAATTGCCTAATTGTACTTAATGAATTCTGACTAAATTACATTTTGTCCTTGCCATCTGCCTGAACACTGACAGCTGTGAAACAGAAGAAAGAGAAGTTTTCTTTATTTTTTTTCTGATAGAAAGCTGGCTAGTGATAATACAAAACAGTTCTGCATATTTTCTAAATGTCTGTGTTAAAATAATCAACTTTTGTGTTAGTGTACTGTTATAAAATGAATTGTATTAGTTAAACCCTTTTATATAAATACAAATATAAATAGAATGTATAGTTGTTTTCCTTTGTTGCAGTTAATTTACATAGCTATAAATTCTTTATGGCTCAAGATCAAGCACCAGCTTTAAAATAAATAAATAAAAATGGCCATGTGAATGCTGTTCTGGAAAAATAATAATTAAAAAAACAACCAGAAAAAAAACCCAAGGAAGTAAAATTCTAAAACTGAACTGGTTATGAGGTAGGGTTGTATTTAGGTTCATAAAACCTTCCTTCATTGTAAACAAATACTACTAATATGTTGTCCTGAGCAGGTGTATTTTCTGAAGGAAAAACAAACAAACAAAAAAACCCCAACCAAGGTTCAATTTGTATTTTAACTACTTTTCCCTTGTAATTTTAAGATACCGTTTGAATGAATAATTTTTTTTGCTTTTTGTTTAATGCTGGTTAACAGTATTTGTCATGTTACTAAAAGGAAAACTAATGTTAGTACTTGCAGCTCTCGAAGAACTCTGTGCATATGTTTTCATTCAGTGCAATAAGTGCTGAAAATAAAAACATCTAAGAAAATTCATATACTGTGTGTGATCCAGCCTTCTATCAACATATCATGATAGTGTCTGCATCTCATTTGTCTAGGGTTATGTTCAGTAACAATGAACCAAAGTAGTTATTCAAGCTGAAGGTTTATCTGATTTTCTTCAGACCTTTTCCTGCAAATCTGCTTTTTTCTGTGATTCAGACACCTGTTATTCCTTGTATGTAGTCTGGCCATTATAACCAAGCTATGAAAGTTTGTTTTTTTCAGAAACCTTAAAAAATTTATCTTCAGTTTTCCTTATCCTATGGAAAGGTAAAAAGCAGTCTTGGTTTGAGATTATTCTCAAATTCCTTCTCTATTAGAGGACATTTGCATTCTGTATTTCTCACTGTGGAGGCAGCCATAGCTAATTTCTCTCGGCTGAATGCTTTTATTGCCTGGCTTGAGTGCGTTCCCAGGCAGGATCCTGTCCGGACT